TAAGGTACCTTCTACTCGTAGGTTTTCCATCTCCATTACATCTGAAACCGTCAACCCAGAACTCAACAAGGCGTGTCGCTTAACCGTCGGTATGCGGCATCCATTTCAATGCTTTGGTAGCAATACCTCACCAGAGCGTCCAAAGCCGTCTCTATTTTGACACAAATACCAAATAGTATGGAAGCCTTGGTCACATATTTCGCGCTATCCCTTTGAAATGCCAATTCCTCCGCGAGACCAGCAAAGCACCGCTCAAGGTACCTCCGTTCACTTGTCATGTCGGCAAGCTCACACTCATACTCTCGGAAAAATATGTCCGTAAATCGTTTGCGAGCATTGTCTGCGACCATATCACACGTCCTTCTCAGAGATGAGTTATAGCCAAGAAGAATGGCAAAACGCTCCCCTGTAATGCATACGTCCTTGCATAGCCTACATAAACCTCTGTCGTCTCTTACATACTGCGACTCCGAATTTGGCACAGGTGGCCGTGTGCACAGTTTGCCGAGTGCCTCAACTGCACGCACACCGATCTTTGGTCGAGAATCGTTCCAGAGATTTTGCAGTGCAGTCTCAATTTGGGCAAGACATCGCTGTCGCATACAGTTGCGCTCAGAGATAACGTCAGACACCGTTTCCTTCTCACTGCGAATCTGTGTTTGCAGCCACGCTAACACCATTATCCCGGCGGCGATAACGTCCAAGCTTTCGGCAAACCGGCAGGCAACTTAATTCGCTGACCGACGGAGGCCGCACCCAAGATTGGTGTATGCGCCCTATTGTTTGCCGCATCCGTTCATTCCTTGACCTTCTCAGCACGGAATGAGGGGACCTTGGCAAACGCCAACGCAGACCCGACAAGGGATATGTGCGACTGAAGAGTTCCTGGGGAGAGCTGCTTACATTCCTTGGCAAGAAATTTTCGAGCAGCAGAAGACAATGATATTTGACCCGTCTATCCTTCCAGGTGTATGCCTTCTGTAGAAGATCAAAAGCTGAGTTAATCAGCCTCTTCCACGTCTAGCCCTTCTCCGTGTGTCGAAGGTGATGCAACACTGCCCGTCGTTCTTCGATCGGAGCCGTGCGAAAAGGAGATCGCATGAAAAGCCACTGCTCATAATCTCCAGAAAACACTAGATCCACATCTTGCCCAATAATTGGGGAGATAGGGGAGATGTATGCGCGAAGCTGCGATCTGTGCCGACGCACCTCCTTGCTTCGGAAAGAGATGGTATATGTAACCGGGCCATCCTGCGATCGAACAGTAGCAGGGCCCTTCCATTTATCATCCGCCTTCGGGCGGTCAGGGGAAGTCTTGAACTTGACTAGGGAACCTGGAGCGAGGTCTGGGGCACGTTTGCGAACCTTATTCGCCATCACCCTTTGTGCTTCCTTGGCACGCTGGGTACGCTGGAAGGCGGCATCATCACGGACCAGAGCACGGACCGAGTTTTCAGTGGCCAGCAGGCGGCGTACGTCCGCCTCCAGCTTGAACTCACGCTCACCATCACACACACGGTTCGTAGCCATAGTGTATGGGGCAAAGCCTTGAGTGGCCGTGGTCGCAGCATTATAACAGTTGCGAAACCTGTAGCGCCAAGGGACCCATCGCCCTCATCCTTGGCGGTCATATAATTGAGGATCCAATCCTGAGCAACCTTCACCATCGCTTCAGCGGCGCCTTGGCTTGATGATGATTAGTGGTGACATCATGAACCTCGCCGCCGGACTGTTGTGCAAACTCAGCGAACTAATTGGCCATAAACACGGAGTCTTTGTCACACCTGTACAATTTGGGCTGGCCCCACGGGTGAACAACCTCATTAAGGAACTTAATGGCCTTCCGAGCACTCTTAGAACGGGTAGGCTTCACCAGAACCATCGAAGTGGCTCTGCAAAAGATGTGTATACCCAGCTAAGATATGGTCAAACAGCCCACGCCCACGCTTGGGTTGTTGGAGTAAACCTAACTCCTGTGTACCATGCGAAGCACAAAGCTGACACCGATGACACGAACGCTTGACAACTCGAATCAACGAACGCAGGCCGCTCCAACCGTACAGTGCATGTGTGTATGTATACCTTGTGCGTGGCAGCAATCGCAGTATGGACCTCTGGCCACGAGAGAACAAAACCACGAACACGGTACGGAGAAGGGCCCTCCATAGCCAGCTTGACAGCAGACTCAACCTCCTCCTTAAATTGAGGCAAGTACCGCTGCACGGCAGCCTGTACCTGCTCATGGCGAGTACTAGCCCGACGCACACGTCGATTAGGCATCTTGCGCTTAGGCTCTGTGGCCTGTGCCGCCTGACGTTCAAGTGCAGCCAACTCCACCAGAGTGGGTTGGGGGGCAGCCGTCTGAGAGACTACAGTAGTAGATGTATTTCCATATACGTTAATAACGTTATACGTCGTCAGTCCGAGAGTAATTTGGGACTTGTTCTCAAATTAATATAAGTATAGACGGGTCAGCCCGAGAGAACCTAAGAGTAATTTGAGACTTCTTCTCAGATTATTCTATTTATGGGATACGGGCCACCGGCTAGCCGAGAGCCGAGGTCCGAGACTGAGTGTATTAACAGAGAATATGTTATATTTATTTCTAGAAAATATATCCGAGTGCTAAAGTGTTCTGCATAAGGTTTCTCATACTGGTCATATGAGATTTTACTCTGGCCAACCCAAGTGGTTGAACACTAGTACAAACACCATCAGTATATAACTGAGAGTGAGATCATAAATAAATTCATCTCGAACGCACCATACTTTAGATACACTAGCAATTTACTATTAGTCCCCCACATCGCACGCTATCAACTCCGCGGACTAGTACGGAGAACAGAGCAAGCGGCTCCGCCAGCTACACCACCAGGAACGAACACGTCACACTGACGCCAAAATTCCTGAGGAACCTGATACTTGGGCGCCCCTGGCCGACAACCGGCACAACAGCGTAGGACCCCAGCGCAGCGGTGGCATCTCTTCATGCCCATACCGGAAAAAGACAAGACGCCTTTCTCCGGCGGGATAATAATGGGTTCCCGTGATAACAACGACAACATGGGCTGGAACCACGGCGCATCAGTGAGATAAGGGCACATTAACGTGATGTCCGCTTCATCCGCAATAACCTTAGCTAACACACGCGGGATTGCGGCCCACGGACAGTTGTCCCACAAATTGAGGAACGTCTACAATTGGGAAGACGCGCCACCTTCCAAAGAAGGGGGGAAATAATTCGGCAAATGGTTATTGCCCGGCAGAGCAAAACCGTCATGGATATGCGGACCCCAGCCTTATCAGCTACCTTGAAATACCTTTTATTAGCCATGTATTCATTGCTGTGGGGAGGACCCTGACGAGCGACCGGATATCGCCACGTGACTCGTCTCCTGGGGGTAACAGTTTGCGTCCCAACCGGATCCATCGACGGATCTACCTTGTGGTAAGGCGGCTCAGCATATCTGCTGTGTTATTGTCCTTACCTCGGACATGCAAGAGCTAAACGTCACGGTCCTTAGAAACCTCCTGCAAACGTGCCTGTCGTCGGCCACGAGGGTCACCTGCAAAGAACTCACGGCGCCACAGGGTCAAAAGTGCCTGATGGTCCGTGAAGATCGTGATAGGGTGATGAGTATTATTAAACACCGCTCAATGCTTCCGAAGACCGTAAACCTGCGCAAGCCATTCCTTGTCGGTGACGTGATAGTTAAGTTAGGCTGGCGAGAACTTGGAGGAAAAATATGCCACTGGCTGCAGTTTCCCATTCCTCAGCACATAAATTACCCCGCCAAGGCCAAAATGCTCCCAAGCATCAGCGAACTGGTAAAGTCGTACACCCGGCTCCGGCGTGGCGAGGACTGCACATGTCTTCAGAGCTCGTTGATTAAATCAAACGCGGCCTGCTGGTCAGCACCCCACTTGAATTTCACAAAAGGCCGGGATGGGTTTCAAAATCTTGGAGAAACCGTCGATAAACCGCTGCCAAAACGCCACCGTGTGGTACCACGACCGGACGCGGTCCTGGTTGTCAGGACGGTCAACCTCAAGCAGAGCCGCTAACCGATCAGCTGAGATTGTGACGCCCTGATGCTGGGCGTTTATAATACCCGATCCGCGCCTTGGGAAGGCCAAACTGGATATCATACTTGTCACGGCGCTCAAAGAACGCAATGAGGGGATCCCTATGCTCAGATGCACCCGCCCGAGAATATCACGATATCGTCTATATACCACTTGGTACCCTGCAAACCATCGAATAGACGATCCAGGGTCTCTTGGAATCGCCATGATGCCTCGGTAATACCAAAAGGCAGGGCCAAGTACTTGTAACGGCCCCATGGAGTCCAAAATGTCAATATGTCGTGGCTCTTTTTCTCCAGCGGAAGCTGGTTGAAACTATTTCCACAATCAACAACAGATACCCACGGCTTGCCCGCGACGTGTCCAACCATCTCTATAGGGTGGCCATTGGAATTAATCGACAGATCCTCAATGTGCTCCCTTCGGTAGGGATGTTGAACGGCTCTTGTTTCAACTTTGTCTTCCACTTAGCAACGTTAGTACAATATCGCCTATCATCTTTGGTTTGGGGGGTGATCCGAGGACTTTTGGGAACCATGAGTGAGAGACTACAGATCTCAAGCAAGTTTCAATAGCAAGAACACTCTTTTTCTTGAATGAAATCACAAGAGTTGCGTCACTCCGAAAAGCGGATCAAATTATTAACCACATCATGTTAATAATACATTTGCTCCTATGAGAGCATCGCTCCGAAAGCCGATACCTAGGTGAGAATTGCTCTGAAAGCCAAGCAACATTAATTGATCGGCGTAAGAGCGAGTGGCAGAGATTATGCTACAGAACAATATCTAAGTGTTAAAGTGTTCTGCAAAAGGTTTCTCATACTGACCATATGAGTTTTCACCCTGGCCAATCCAAGCGGTTGAACACTAGCACAAACACCTTGAGTATAAAACCAAAGGTGAGGTTGACTACCATCTTACACTCTAACAGCACAACTTCCACAGAGTATTGCGATGAGCAGGCAGCGTGCAGTGGATACTTGAACTAGTACAAGTATAAAGAACGCAAAGAGTAATTTCAGCGCTCTCCAGTGTGCTATAATATACATATAAATGTATATAGAAAAAGGATGCAGGGCAGAGATCGACCAGCAGATGGTACTTAATCAGGATTCTGAGCATTTTCCAAGTAGTATCGATTGTAAACACTGTTTTAGGTGACAACCTATAGTAAACTTAAAATAATACACACTAGAATATGGCAATCATATTGAAAGACAAAAGCACATTTGAGAGCAGTAATTGCTGTAAAGCAACACCACTACCGCATGCCAACACCAAGGGCGTTTTCGTTCAGACTCAAATATCATATTCCATTTGTGTAGAGTACGAGTTCTGATATCTTGTGTAGTTGGGGAGCAATCACCGCAGATCGAATCATCCGTATCAACACACAAGCTCTGTAAATCAAGTAAGCTTATGGAGGGCGAAACATGTACACGCAATCTACTAGAAACAAGTCGGACAAGAGGCATGATACGATATCGGAAAGAATAAAGATCAACATCAGATAGAGCTGCGGATATGCACAAATCTTGAAAGACAACAGAACAGGTGTATGACATATTTCTATGTCATGTGCTTATGTAATATGTTCACGTTATGTGTCTGTAGTATATGGTCAATGCAATATGTTTAAATAGCTCACGTTTTAAAGCAGATGACTAGTTAACCACACACTTGATCACGCTCATTGACCAAGCTCACATCGACGCCTCCTCGCAGAAAAAAATCATTCATGCAATACAAAAGAATGTGGTCATACATACAGGCCAGCGTTCGACGCACACCAGTATGTGTAATTGCACAAGAGAAAACTGTACACATCACACGTAACCAGAGTATTTGAATAAAAATATAAAAACATTTTTATCCCAGCAATCGGTATGGTTAAGAGTCGTAATAAATAGCACAAGGTGTTTACAACTCCCTGTTGCCAAGAAAAGTCATAACATGATACCATAAGCAAATATTGTGCGATCTGATATTTATCAGACGGAGCTACACAGGAATCCAACATAACTTTTATATCCGCTGTACACCCCTTGTTATATGCTATTGCTACTGAATAGTCTGGAACAGTCAGACCTCGTCTTTCCCAACATAACGTGACACAGGGCCATACTAACAATTATGGTTGTAAAAGGTTTAATTGTTCATATATATGATGTGAACTGCCTCTCTGTTCACTCTCTAGAGAGCGGTAGATTGTTTACTAACGTTTCACTACGTCAATTCAGCTGTATTCACCAGACAACTTTACACACCACACGTAACCAGAGTATTTGAATTAAAAATAAAGACATTTTTATCCCAGCAATCGGTATGGTCAAGAGTCGTAATAAATATATTCCTCTTTTGGTCGAATATTTCTTTTGGCGGGTAAATTTTTGTATAACAACAAGTACTTTTAGCAGTGGCCAGTGCTGTGGGACTTTGGGAGTTGGGAGTTGGAACTTAGGACTCCGATCAGGTCTCACCGTCTCAGGGTCTGATGAGTCTCTGGGAGGGTCTGCTAGAAATATTAAATTCAACACACTCGTGGGACTAGGTGACCCGATCCGTCTCGCAATGGCTCTCGTGTAAATATATCATTCCACTCTCGCATTTCGTGTGCTTCATACATTTCGGGTGATTATTTATATGCATCTAAGCGTGTTATCGTGTTATCGTGTTATCGTTGCACTAAGTGTGTTAGCGTGTTCTCGTGTGCATGAGTGCGTCGCGTGTCGCGTGTGATTTTCGTGTGACCCTCGTACGAGTCCTACGCAGCAGCTCTCGTGGGGCGTATGTAATCATTCATGGTTCAACACACATACTCTGCTTATCGTATTCAGCCTTGTTGCAGGGCATGAGAAACGACTCAGAAACAAGATCACATGAATGTCCATTTGATTTAATTTATCTTGTTTCTGAGAGCACTGAATAGAAGCAACTGATGCAACGCACCAAGTATCCATCCCACCCTGCTAATTTCCGTCAATAGCTTTAGCTTCTCTCCGAACAATGTGAGTCCAAAAATTGAAACGGAGATGACACCCCGTGTGGTCAATTGCTAACAATCCAACTTTGAGCTGCAATATACACTAGTGGATATCGCATATGGTTTCTTCTCGGGTAGATATTCCATATATACTTCATTTCAAAGCATCACTTGCGTGACAAACTCACCGAAAAGCTATGTACAGTGCGTGAAACTAAAGATGTAACGTACAAGCGTCTAGTTGGCTATAGCTGGCTAGTAGAGATATATAATAAATACAATCCCAATTTTTATCTTGCGGCTTTGAAAATGGAAGGAACAATCTACAATGCAGTGTATATAAACATGCGACTATGTTTCAGCTCGTGCAATTCGCACAATCTCTATTACAGTATGAATGCAAGAGCTATGTATTTATTGGAAATTATCTGGAGGTAATATCATTGCAATTACATATCAGCATAGGATTCAGGGCGAACTTCTACTGACAATTCAGCATGCGTCTCCCTCTTAGCGATTGTTTCTATCATAAAAATCACTAATGGCTACAATGTCAGGTTAAGCGTGTGTCTGCGAAATATTCTTCTTCCATTTATTCCATATATTCCATATACTCGAAAACTAAGAATGCAGGTTTCAAGGCTCTGTGTGACACGTTCCACGACGCGCTCGCCTTCATCAGGTCTACTCACAATCAATTATATGGTATTTATACATGGCATTTATTTTTCGTCTACAGATGATATTTATTATGCCTAAACTCTACATCCATAGCAACCATACAGTCTCGATGAACGATGTTTGGTAGTCAGAGTATACCGTACACCACTGTTAAACAGTATTTCGTGACTTTGTATACACGTGTATCATTTGCGAGGTTGGCGACACTACGACTTTCCAAGTCCATATCGTGTGCTTTTCAAATATTCAATACGTCTGCTGAGTGTATTTATTCGCAATATCATCCCACGTAATGACATTAAATTTTAGCGTAATGCAACAGCCTGAAACCCCCGAAGCATTTCGTCTTTTTCATGTCTGGGTTTCAGATTCAACCCCATGAAGACTTGTAGAACCAAAATGTATAGTGCACAGTACCCACTATTGAGTATGTATATCGCGCACAGCTACTTTAATTTCTTTAATTTCAAGAGGAACAGAAAGCACCTATTGCAGCGTGCATGTGATCGCAAAATAATTATATTCAATTGCAAATATATGGCAATCTACCATATCTCCTGAGGTGTGTTCACACGTGCATACAAAAGCTACCAGCACGTCGAAATATTGTCTTATGTCACAATGTTTACTTATATCACAGTATTTACAAGGGAGTACAAATCGACAAAGAAACTATCGCGCTGCCATTTACTGTTCGATACGCAAACATACCATCTCTGTGTTGTATTATGCATAGTATCTTCTGTATAGTAGTATACATAGTATCTCCTTCTATATGGTAGTATACGTGCTACCTTCTGTATAGTAGTGTACATACTATCTACTTATGTATAGTAGCATTCAATCTCAAACCTATAGTTTCAGACTGACTTTACATTTATCAAGTTGAAGTGCGGCGTGCAAACTATACTTTGAAAGTAGAGCACATATCGAGCTAAGATTAGGAATAGTCGGCACAAGTACAGAACCTTGTCGGTACATGTCCAAAATGATTTTGGCGAACGTATTATGCCAAACGAGAGCCCCTTTTCTACTGGCTGCGTGGCGGCATTTTATATCCCTCCTATTCGTTAAAACCACCTATCGAACTGGTATAAGAGATACTATCGTGTACCGGTTTAAACATCGTCATCGTCCGCTTAGAACCTGATTGGTTCTCTGATAACCAACTTAACCGATGCCGACTTTCGTTTTACCATTTCGGTTCCTTGCCCTTCAATTTAGTTGCTGTCAGTCCTACAGGTTGCAAGTTAGATTAAGCAGCCACTGTGGACAGATGTTCCGTGTTTGTGAGAGTTTCTTATTCATATTCTATCACAAGTTGATGAATATTTTCTCGAAAATATTAATATCAACCGGCACACAAAAAACCCGTTGTGGTGACTTTAGCCTCAATTCATGGAGTCAATCATCAAAAAGTGTTAAATTTTTATTTTTTTGGGAAACTTGCACATCTGGCAGGACAAGAATCGTCCGCTTCACAGTGCATGCCAAGGGGGATCGGTGATGGTCGTGCAATTGCTGCTCTACTGGAAAGCAAACATCGAGGCCCGTAACAATGTGTGTCAATTTGGGAAGTACGTACTCTATTGGTATATTTAGGTTGTAAGATGGCAATGCACTCTATAAGTATGTTTAGTATGTAAAATGGCATTGTATGTTATTCTGGGATATAGGTAATCTAGGAATTTGTTTAGTATTTAGTAGTATATAAGCTCAATATGTTTAGTATGTAGAACTATATATACTTCGGGTGCTGAATTTTACTTTACTGTGATTATCATCATAGAATGACGGAATTAGATGCTTTGGCGTGTGATTTCTTTCCCTGTCGATTGTGTATTTTTCCAATTAAACCTTTATCGTCAATTTTTTTAAAGTTATAACCATCGACGACATACATGAAAGAATATTAACTGGGAGCACTCACACGCATACGCTCCCTCTGTGTAACCGCTGTTCTTCCATTTTTAAAACATCACAAGTCTGTGTCGTTCTCCGACTGAATATTGGCCATGCACAACGAGTTTCTATCTTTATGTGCTAGACTACTACAGATGATATCGAGCATGTCTCTGTCGGTTATCCGCATCTGACTGGATGTACATTGGTACCCAATTGTTCGATATTTATACCGGTCGAAGTGTTGTTGACAAGAATATTCTGGCTGAGATGGTTGTAATTCCGTATATTCAGCTTGGCCGTACTCCTATCCACAACGCTTGCTTCTACGGGTATGAAACCATTGTCAAACTACTGCTCGACAATGGCGCTAGTATAGAGGCGAGAGACGAGGTAAGTAAACTACATCATCGTATATTGTGGCAAGCACATGTTGTTTTTGGTTTGTTTTTTTTGTGTGTTCTACACTTATTGGTTATTCTGTTAGAAGTATACGTGCGCAGAGAAGATCATGGTTATTTTCTGAATGACAATCATTGAGTTTCATAAATGGCTGGACTCGACAAGAAATACCAATAGGAGCACTCATCGTCTGTGTGATGGATTGTGTGTTTTGTTGGGGCTGTGCTGATCGCCTCTGGGAATGTCGAACACTTGCAAGCTTCATACTATATTCAGTTCCTTTTGGCACTCGTCCGTACATTTGTGTTTCCTACTGATTCTTGAACGACATGTGGCTACTAGAAGCCCATTAGTCGGGAACTAGACGAGAAAGGCGATCTGTTGTTATTTTATAATCCCAATACCTTCACAAAATTATCGTCAGGTACTGGGTCTGGTGCACCTTTCGACTCTGTGTGATTGCTGATTGATATTCGATGAAAAGTGAGCTTGGCACTTGCCCGTTAGTAATGCAGTCCGTGCAGTCGTAGCCTTCTTCATTGGAATGAATCGTTTGTATTATATGTACTATGTATGCAAATCCTTGCAGCATCACAGGTACATTTACGTTGAGGTTAACTTGCATGACTATGCCAAAGTGTGCTATGGGACAGGTATATATATATATATATGTCCAAAATAGTTTCATCCGAGATGAGTGACGCCGATACGTTTATTTGGGTTTGTATCTTCGGCTTCCAGAATGGAGACGCTCCACTTCACGTTAACTGTTACAAAAACTACGCAAACGCTGGGATCTTGAAACCACTGCTTGGTAACGGTGCCAATATTGAGGCACAAAACTTGGTAAGCCGCAAAACCCGCAGCGAGAGTGGTTGTTATCGAACTTTATCTATCATGTTATGTGGTGATTAGACGTAGAGTATGCTAAAGGCGCGGCCGACAAACACGCCTGTGTTCCTTACATGTGCTTGACAGGACCATATATTTGTAATTTGTGTGAGAAGTCATACTTTATACGCATCTTCTTTGTCGTGAATCTGCTGATGTTCGGCTGGTATTAGATTTTTATATCTACGCGTCAGTATAGATAGTACGTTGCCGATAAAGGGGTTGTTGATGCCAAAGCTAGATATACGGCAGCAATTTCAGTCCCTCTGTGGGCTATGCATTCATTAACTGACACTGTAGTCGATGACGCGTTAGTAGTACAAGGTGATCGATCGCTGTCTCAATATTTACGAGTCACTGTACGCGGGTGATAGTCTCAGATCACGTGGGTGTGGCGAATTTGCACCGGTTCTAATTGACCGCAAACCTCTAACACTCACAGAATGATGTCGATATATATATATATGTACATAACGAGAAGAAACACAACACTCCTACGCGTGCAATTATCCTGAGTACTGGCAGCAGTCTTGATCGTTTATTTGCAACTGAAAAAGACTCATACTTGTTTCAACTATATGGTTCCAAATCATTCGCAAATTTTGTACTGATAAAGTCATCGCTACGGTCACATAGATCTGCCGATTTTTGGTGCAGCTCACAATGCTCATGCTGTGCTTTGGGATGTATTTGACTCAAAAATTGAGTTCTCGTGATACTAGCGATGAAAGTTGTGTATATTGCTGAAATGATTGGTATTGAACAAAAAGTGTAATCAATGACCTGAAACTAAGCAGGTGGAAATATTTAGCATGTGTCTTATTGATGGACTATTAGTATATGTTGTAGTACTTTATATTCTCCCCTTTGTGGTGTTTTATTCCGGCAAAAGAGAAATATAATATTCACAGTCTTGGCTGTGGTTCGTACTATCGACAATATGTCATTTCAGTAATACTGCTGCTATCTGGAGTCAAATCGTCTCGAAAACGACACGTCAGTAAGGTACGATGGTGTATTTGCACTGAAGAGCAAGATGAGAGGCGGATAGTATCATAAAATTTCAAAGATTCTCTGTAGGATATCTACCATAGGTCTGTCTGGCAAAACCGTTTTAACGAGGTTACGGTGTTGTTCTTTGTCCCAGTAAATTTTGAATATTTGTGATATAGTTTTGCATCTACTCTGTAGGACAATGAGACCACACTTCACATTGCCTGCAAAGAAGGAGTAGGATACGCTGTGCAAACGCTGGTTGAAAATAGGACTGAAACAGAGGCTAAAACAGTGGTGAGTGGTCTATTTTACTCCTTCTTATGCGATTTTCTTCACTCTAAACTTGAAGATTTTTCTTTTCTTTTATTGTTTCTTCGCTTCTGTCCAGTGTTGGAGGACAGTCTTTAATCTTGACAAACCGTTTGTCGCCTATTCTATATATATTTATGTGATGCTTGGGTACTTTACAATGTACAACATACACGGCTTCGCTCTTACAATACGTATAGCCTGATGAGACTGGATGTTACTCTGAATTGTCTGCAATATTGTAGTATGGTATGATTAAACCTAGGAAACACCGAGCTAGTGCAGAAGCAGACAAAATCCAGTTCCCTCGCGTGACCTGAAAGTTTACCATACTGAACAATGAGTCGTTATGGCTTCCTTGTAGCTTGACTGTTTTCGTATAAGACTGAAATATAGTTTTAAAACTTTTCGTGTTTCCACCTTAACCGATCTAAGCTATAGGCTTTCAGCTAAACGTTTAGGACAAGGCTTGACATTTTTGTGTGGCATTCATTTTCGATGTTAATGTAGGACGGAAAGACTCCAATGGAACTGTGTGCCAGCGATAAAGTCAAGGCGCGACTACGGAGAGCAATAGAAGAAAGAAGGGTATGGTATATTCAAGTGTTTTAATGTTGTTCAGCATCGTTTGACCTGAAAATAGTAAGCCTTGTGGCCCTTGTTGTCGTCAAGCAGCTCGAGTAAAAAGTAGAAAGCATGCGTGTCCGTCTCGCCTACTTTTCTACAGACTATGGACTCAGGATACTCGAACGTACCTTCGTCTATTTCTAAGCAGTACCTGCTGACTGTATCGAGGTTCGCAGACTGCATTCGAGTAGCGCGGATGGACAGTATCGCACTGGCAACGCCAGAGTTTAAACTAGCCATACCGGCCGGTGTGGAGCAATCTCTTGCCTACGTCTTGGCTGACGCACATGCGTGCTACAAAAACATCTTGAAAGTAAGACAAATACGGGAACCAGTCATCGAATTGGTGATGGAATGCTGCGCCGTTTTGGGCGATGTACAGATAGGTGCAGAGGCTGGGGGTGAGCGAGATTATCTCAAAAGGGCCGAGGCAGCGCTAGCGACTTTTGACACTTTGCAATCACAAATCTGCAGTGAGAAGGAAACGGTGTCTGACGTTATCTCTGAGCGCAACTGTATGCGACAGCGTTGTCTTGCCCTGATTGAGAATGCACTGCAAAATCGCTCAAACGATCCTCGACCAGAGATCGGTGTGCGTGCAGCTGAGGCACACGGCAAACTACGCACACGGCCATCTGTGCCAAATTCGGAGTCGCAGTATGTAAGAGACGACAGAGGTTTTCGTAGGCTATGCAAGGACGTATGCATTACAGGGGAGCGCTTTGTGGTCAGAATACAAGTACTTAGGTTTTAGTTGTTTATTTTAGTTATTGTAGTTTTTACAGTTTATCAGAATAATCTGATAAATTTGGTTTTTGCTGACTATTACAGCACATGACTTATGACTCACTTTTAGAGTCATTAATTATACAATTACTAATAAATGAACAATATCTCCCTCTCTACGGAGGGAGAACGTTGCGATACAGTTATTGAAGCGTTCATTTACTACATTTTTAACTTGCCAAGGAAGTTGTGAGTTCATTAGTAATTAAGGGATAAGCTACTTTATAATAATTGAATGAAGTTTATTGGTTCTTTTTCTATAGGAATAAGACGAACAAAAGAGAAACCATCGAAATACAATAGTAGTAGTAAGATGGCCCGGCAAATTGAAGGAATCTTTCAGAATCTATTGCGGTAGAAGACGATAGTGGGTACACCAGTAGTGACGCTAGTGCCACAATGCCATCCTTGATGTCAAATAGTGACAGTGAAGGGGAAGAGACACCGAGTCTGAACGATCAGCACGTCCGATGGGCTCAGCAAAGGAAATTGAGACGAACAATGGACGATTCAGGCTCAATCGAATCAGTATGGCCAGACAGCTCGAACGATTTAGGCTTCGGCCAATCTTTGCGGTGACTTCAAGGTCAGAGGCAGACTTTGGCATTACGACAGAACCCAAGGAGACCGCGGACAAAACGAAGGAGCAACCGATTCAACAGTAGGCATCAGAAGTTCAAGAAAGAAATGGGCAAGATCAGCAGGACCAAATGACCAAAACGAGGGTCCAGCCAGACGGTCAGATAAGTGGAAATAATAGTGAAGAATAATTTTGTGATTTTATGGTGTAAAAATAGACGGTAGGTGTGACATTGTAGGCTAGAAATCAGGTTAGAACCCTGTAATAGATACATTTTAGTTAGAAATTGCTAAATAAGCATTGCGTTATAGAAATGGTACCAGTACACACAACGAGTACAAGTAAAAGGGGAGTGTACATAGTAGCAGTTGGTTAGACATAAGAAGGGGGCTCCTGTGAAAAACACAAGGCAAGAAGTTATAAGAATTATAGGAAATACAACCGAAATCCAACCACAGGCAAAGGAGAGAGACAAGTAGTTCACACAAGCTGATTACAGGTAACACGAGGGACTACACCATGGTTAGAAACAAGTATGGCCACAAAGAACAAATAGCGCACACAAACATCGACGAATACCATGTGATTATAAGAATAATACTTTCCGCACGGATCTACGGGAGATTTTCCTCACGAAATCGAACGATCAAAGGACACGAGAGTATGTACGAATTAGTTAACGTCTAGGTACATTAACCATAAGGGTGAGTAGTAGGATCAGGGAAATATATAGACTAATGGCACAGTTAGAGGATTACCGCAAATAAGGAAATCAACTTAGAAGTTACAGTTTATAGACAGGTAGTATATTCGGTAGAATAAGGAAGTGCGAGGTAGAAAGAGTATAAGGCATAGTAGAAGCCATAGAGGCACCAGGAACTCCTTGACTGAGCAGAACTTTGTAGTAACGCTGCTGGGAAGAACGTATTAGGTAGGATCTAGAAGACATTGAAGGGCCGTAGAGCACGAGAGGTCTATACTAGGTAGACACATGCCGACAAAACGGCACATGCAGGAGCACGGAGAGTAAGATTAGTGAAGAAAGGGGAGTAAGGCGAGAGCTGAGGAGCTCCCTAAAGTAGCACACAGGGTGTACAGGGTGTGTCCCGACGAGTGTTTCGGCGAAGAACATGCGACAACATAGCCTGCAGAAGGCAAGGGTAGGACACATGTACTAATTACCACCATGACAGGAATGTAGCGTGGAGCACGACATACACCTGTCCAGACGAACAGTGTCGAGACTTGTTGAGATGGAAGACGATTCTCTAGGACGGAGGAGTATCTATATCCGACCCATTTCAAGGACGTCTACATACATTTACAACCCTCCATTTATCCACACAACGTACTATTATGTCCAACCTACGTCAAAGCCGCCGACAGCAACATCTGACCCCTGAACGTCGGGAGGAAGACGACATAGATCATCGAGGAACTAAGCGCCGCCAGTTTCCACCGTACCCTCCCGTCTACCGAACTGAGAAAGAACGGATGGGACCACAGGATGGAAAGGTTCATAGCCAAGAAGCGGCTACCGACAGACAGGCAACCAAGACACCCAGGGGGGATATCAGCCTAACACAGGAAGACGTTGTAAATAACGACGAGGCCAAGGGAGATTCCGACCTGCGTGCAGATAAGGAGCAGTCCATTACTGGTGAATATGTAGCTAGTATTGGACTGCCTTCCCGTTCGTCTTCGGGTATTTCTGGCGCCTCATCTTCCGGTATCGAGCAGCCACGCGTACCACCTAACAAGCGCAGGCGTTACCGCCGTCGTCCCAACAACAAGAGCACAGCGCGGGGCCAGTCGTCAACACAAAAGCTAACCGGGCTTATGGCCCAACAACAGTCGCCCTTAGAGAAGTATGAACAAAAGTTGCAGCGTACATCTTCCGAGCGACCCACAACCATGTTGTCCCCAAACAAAGCGTCGACTAGTTCACACAAACGGGGATATACGACATAAGGTAGGGAGGACAACCTCACGTTTCGGATCCAAGGCCGGTCGCAACAACACCATGGCCTTGAGTACGAATCACCTGGGTTGGAAGGACAACTCTCCGAGGAGGAAGATACCTTGTCGTCTCTAGAGGAGGCACCGTCATTCCAAGAGTTCGCACGGGAGCAAGTGTTGGCCAAGCAAAACCCACACGGGAAGGAAGCACTTAAGACTAGGCAGGACCAGATGAGCACAACCCATTGTCAACATCAACAGCGACAGTCGTTCGAGAGAGTAGCTGCTAGTGAGTATGTACAGACTCCCAAGTATGCGGAGACAACGTTGCTCACATCTACTGCCAGTGAGCAGTTACAGACTCTCCACCCACACCAGTGAGTATTGAGAAGAGTCGCCAGGGGTTACATGCACGAATTCTACACCTGGGCGACGAGTTATACCAAGCGATAGAAGATAAAATACGACTCGAGCTGAAGCTCTGAGGGGTGCGATTGAAACACTTTGAGCCACGCTAGAGTCCCGTCCAGTGGAAAAGCGTCCGGTACCATCACCACGTACATGGCCTGAATGGCCCTCGAATAGATACCTCCTCCACGACATCATGGAACGGGATACGAGAGGTGCTCTACTGGAGGCTTTTAAGAACGCGCAGATCGCAGGGTTAGATGAGAGTTGGAGCCTTACATGGTTCCACAAGGTATTGTCTTACTTTAAGGCTGAGAAGTCAACACTGGATTACATACGCGACAACTCTGAACGATTGAAGAGGTGGACGCCACAACTACAAATCGAACAGATTTGCTCACAGGAGACGCAAGCCACTGTTGACCCTGCGTTTCGTAAGCTTGCCGAGGCCACAGTCGAAATATGCACACCCCCATTATGGAACTAATGACACAGCTGATGGAGAATCACAGGAGGGCACGTGAACGGTGCCAGACGGACGCTGATTTCCAACAGAATCTATTAAACCATTGCATTGTTCAACTGCTAGAGGAAGCTCTCAACGGCCGTACGTATGAACGCACTCTACAGTTGCATCCCAAGTGGCAGTTAATGAAAACGCATGAGCTTCTCCAGTTGTTGAGTCCCGACATTCAGGACGCACAGCAGCGCACCACGGCGCGACTCCAGAACCGTAATAATCGCGAAGGACCACCGGGCAACGGGGCGCGTGACTATACCAATAGCCGTTCTAAACCACAGACGGTGCGACGACAGTCACAGAACTGGGCACAGCGACCCCAACCGACATTACCTACTACGTGTGCTGGGTGTCAAGCACAAGCACCACCAGCAGTTTCGTTTTTGATCACAAGATACAGTTATCCAGCGGAACATCCGTCCAGTCTGTACAAATAACTGTAGTCAGGAAATTTTGAGTAGGGTTATTTGATATTAGGGGTTTTTTTAATAGTGACTACGTTTTGAACCGGGTTTACATAATAAGGTTTAAACTGATAAGGATAAATTATATGACCAAAATGATAGTAGCTGGATTAGTTGAGATACAGTTATCTTTTGCGAGTTGCTATATTTTAACTAACCTGCATGTTGTACATGAATTGAACATATCCTGATAACATCGAGAACCGATACATCGACGATTAATAACTTATGACAACCCGTAGTGAACAATACAGATAGTGGGTTTAATAGTAGTGGCACTGGTGAAAGCATGCCATCAGCAAGAGGTACGGCATCGACTCAAAGTCCACAAAACTTTACTTCGTTTATTTATAAGCAAGCACAAGTTACTTTTATTTTGACTAACACTCGACAGAGCCGTCGGCAACAACACCTCGCGCATGAACAACGCGAGCGAGACGACGTTCTTCAGCGTTGACACAAGCGACATGCCCCAAAACGGGCGGCCCCAGGCGGAGGTCCGACGATTGACCTTGATGTTGGATATCGGCTAACCAGGCGATACTCCAACATACACAAACTGCAAAGCAGCAACGCAATGAGAGATCAACAACCCCGAGCAATGTGGACTTTATTGATCGTGGAGTACAAGCCCCTGACCCGACAGGAACCATGCGACCAGTGTCGCAGGATCAACAACAGGAAACGGCGACTCCTAGAGTGGATGTTAGATCTACGGAAGGAGAGTACCCTCGCTACCATAAACCGGGGGGGGGGGGGGGGGGAGTAGACAAGGCTGAGGTCGAGACAGTGATACTCAGAATCACTTTACGAGTCTTCTTCGGTAACAACAGTCTCTCCTCGAGAAATACGACCAACGTTTACTGCGACTTCAGAGCGCTACGATCTCTCCGTCCCCCGACAACCCTGAGTTCCATATCAGAGGAGCAAGCGAGATTCATCATGGATTGGGTTACACATCGTCTAACCAAGACGGTAGTGAGAAACCACGTAGAACCCTCGCGGCAGGGACGCGCTGTACAATCTCCGCGATAGAATCAATACGTCGTTACAGACACAGAACGGACACAACGACAGGACAATCAATTCGAACGGGACGCACTGGGAGAGATGTTGCCCGTGCAGAGAATGCTTGATCCAAGCCACCTCGGTAGACACGAGCATGAGACTTGCTCAACAGCACACTCCAACACCAGAAATTATTGCAGCCGGCCGACAAGCCTGCATGCACGAACTGGGGTGCGGTAGAGACGAATGACTTACCACGAGCGGATGCTTTGCGAGGTATGCTGGAGACACTGCGAGCAACACATGGTTCTCGGCCGGCCAATAAACATGCGCCACGGAAACCGCGTAGCTGGCTCTAACCGGTACAACTTCGGCAACATCATGGAGCGCGATACTAAAGGTGCCTTCCGCGAAGCCCTTACGAACGCCCAAATCTCAGGTTTAGACAAAGCATGCAGTCTCCGGTGGTTCTACAAGGTGTTGAGTCACTTCGAAGCCGAACAGTCGGCGCGCGCTCGACTGCAACAAACCTAACCAGAAACGATTGTCGCCTGGACACCGGAACTACATATAATACAAATTTGTTCGCATGGGACGCAGGCCATCTTCCGCAAGCTAGTGAAGAGAGATATCAAACTCGGTAACGTCCCAATGATGGATCAGATGATTTATCTTATGAAAAATCATCGAAGAGCACACGAACGCTACC